TATGTATTTCTAAAATCATCCATCTGATGCCGAAAACAAAAAAGGCAGGGGCAACTGGAACGTTTTCTGTACCGCATTCATAAGTGTATTTTCCCTATCCGATATCACGATTGCTGGAGCTAGCTGGAGGTGACAGAATATGAAATTTTAAAATTAAGTCTAATTGATTTCACACTTTATCGAGAAAATACCGACTTCAACAATTTGGATTTTGTTGTTACCATTGCAAAAGCGAGTTACCAGGAGAATCCAGCCGATGGAAGTTTCTAGGAGTTGCCATTCACGGCAGTCACACGCTCGCTTTATGACCTATGGATTTTAGACTTCTCGGAAAATGACACACAATCGCACAAACTCATCATTTACGATTCCAAGCTTCGTTTTGTGACCTAAATCATGGAGTTCAACGATGTATAATGGAAGGAGGTTGTATTGCTCAATATCAGTGCCAAAAAAACTTGAGCTTTAAGCGTTTAAGCGCATGAAAACACATTCATTTAGGAAGCTGAAATCCCTTCATTTGGATCATCACGGACTGCACTTTCCTGTTGAAATTCATGGCCATGTCTCTGACTGCAGGGTTTACAGCTTTTTGAATCGCAGTGGCATATCTACGAGAAGCTTCGGGTGATCCTGAAACTTGACAGGAGTGCAAACAAAAATTGGTTGAAGGGCTAAATGTTTGTGAAAAAATAAACAACACCACCGCGAACGAAGAGTCATCTTGTGTGCACACAGCTTTGTAACGTTGCTTCTCACTCAAGACAACACAATACGGCCGGCTCCACTTTCGGTTGTACTCAATCGCAGCTTGAATGATGTCGCTTTTGTTACTCTAACACTTATTTTCAAATAAGCTGCTAGCAAAATTGAATGTTGATATCAAATCCAAAGACTATGTATGCAAATTTGCGTATAGTAAATAGGCTTGGTATATTTTGTGTTTTTTTATCATGTGGTATGATTTCTATATTTGATGGTTATTTTGGAATATGTTTTATATAATCCCAAAATTTAATGTAGCAGATAATCACGACAAAAAAACGATACACTTCATGACAAAACTAATACATAACATCAGTTACTTACAGGTTTGCACAATTGTATACTATACAAGCAAATTTAGAAATGATAGATATTACACGGATATACATCGATAAGTGCTTGTAGAATTTATGAAAGTGTTGCAGCATTCGAGAGCAATCCAGGCGATTTGGTCTAATACGGTAGTCTTCGTTTTTAGTGACCCCTTATTCTTACAGCTATATGCGTTAACAGGCCAGCTCCTTTGCCACAAGACACATCAACTCTGCGTCGCAAGAACCATACTCTAATGTGGTCGTAGTTAGAGCGACAATGTTAACAATGTAGACTAATACATGTCAGGATGTTGAGCTACGTGTTCCATGTGGACCGAGAACACCAAGCTGCTATGCTTGTACGCATCAGATACTCCACTGCAGAGAGAAATATTGCGTCTGTCTTCATAGCATTTATACTGCAACATTTAGATTAACGCCAAGATACTACCGCCATCAGCAAGCTTCTTTTTTGGGACGACCACAACGTACCATCATCACTGCGTGTTTTGCTAGCGCGCAATCCGGCGTACAGTCCACTATATGTGCCAAGCATCTGTGTGGATCCGTACAATATAATTCTAAAGTTTCTGTCATCTCTACAGCATCTTATCTACTCTCACTGTTGTGTGTCTATCCGGCGTCACACGCCGCCCAAAGTCGTACCTCTAGCATCTTTTACAGATAGCACCTTATACGCGCCGTCTTGACGCTGCGCTGTCTGAACCCATGCGAACTTTACTATATCAACAAGAGGACAGCTACACCTGAATACAATATCGAAGCAGTAAGATTGGGATTGAGAAGATGGACTGTAACGGGGTAGCCCGTTTCATAAGTTTACCATTGTGACAAAATAATAACAAAGAATATTAGGTTGGATTTTCTTTTAACAATATCGTTAAGTATAGTGATATTGTTGGATGACCGAAGGGTCTACTCATTGGTTGATATTGTGATGATATTAACCCACCGATCGATGCTAGACGCGCGCAATAGGTGGTGGGTAGACGTCATCATACGTTTGGTTGGATTGATTTATTAAGTCAGGACAAACTGATACAATAAGAGTTATATGGCTTAATTAACATTAAATACCAGTTGTACTTTTACCGCGACTAAAGTCTTCACCTTAGTTGTTTACCCTTCCCCTGTATAGTGTGAATACATAGCAGGGCACTGACATTCACTGTTGGCAGTGAAAGTTAATTATGTACTGGCAGACCAGTACGTAGTTGTGGGTGCCTCGTTACATCGACCCAACATGGGCTTACAATTAAGCGAAAAGCAATACCCGAAGACATCTTTTTCCATCGACAGTCATTGCTACAAGAAGGAGAGGGTGGTGAAGCGTCAACGCACATTTTTCTTCTGGTAACGAATGACTGTTGACGGAAAATGATGAAAGGTTTTTAATTGGTACAACGAGAAGGGGAATGAAAAAGAATACGTGGATGTATATGGCTGATCCCGGACATTTGCATATTCGACCGTACAGTGTGCGTCGGTGTGTAATCTTATTTTTCGAATATTTGGTGCAACCCATTATTTTTCCTCAATTCAACGTTCATGTAAATGAACGAGCTCACTCCCTTACATCGATTTCGCGAGGACAGTGGAATCACTTATACCTGGAATGTCACCGAAAACATCGAATATATCTACACCAGATAACATTGCGCTAAACATTCGTCGGCTACAGTTAACCGGATTGCTAAGCGGACTGGTGTCGTCACGTATTGGCGCTCTCTGCAGAATACGATGACTTCATTAGATAACGTGTGCAAGCCTGATCGCTAGACTGATAGCTGCAGTGCTTGCGTCAGAATTACGGTTTCAGCTAGTCCTCCATCAGGTTAATCGCACACACCGAGTGAAGTGCCGATCATTCACCCTTCACCCGGTACCGATTCACCTTGTATGCGCAATTAGTTCAATTTGATGAAGAATACTGACCCACGTCTTTCGACAGGAACATCGTTTAGCAAAGCAGTGCTCGAGCGTAAGCCCATATCGAGTAACGTGTCACTTTGCTTTTTTATCGCCCAGCAGTTATGTCATAGCGTCAGTAGCCCGATGCCACACTGGTCTGTCGTGTAGGCTGCATGAGCCCACGAACCTGGATCAGCACCACGACCTTATATTGGAATTGATTGCCAGCTTACAGTGACGCGAACGTCCATACCCCGTCTTGACAAAAGCGGCTACATGGATGTAGAAGCAGCATAAACCTGCCGAGCAGCAACGAACCACTTCTGATGGCCATTGATCATCCAGGAGTGCGGCAGCTACTGCTCGATTGCAGTGGACCAAACCCTGTCTACGCCCAGTGCTTTTCCTGCCTTCTCGGGCTTACAATTGCCTGGTAGCCGCCTGGCACGCGGTCTCGAGTGAAATCAATGACGTTGTCACGTGAAAGTCCTTCTCCTCGATTTTTGCATCGTGCGGCAAAGTTAGCTGATACCACCACGGCGCGCGACACGATTCGTGCCGTCGCGACCAGTCTTGTGGCGATGTGACAAGGAGAGGTAGTATCGCGCTGTTTTTCCCACTTGTGTGGATGTAGTTTTCGCTGCAAGCTTTTGCCACTTGCCGCCGGAATCGCACCGATCTGCACAGCTTGAAGTAGGACTGGAATGCGCCATTCTATACCAACGTGGTGGTGGTCAGATGGTCCATTTGCACGGTTTTTCCTATGCGCCGTAACCTTGACATTTTTCTAAACCTGATAGCAACGCCGGGAGACTTGGGAGCTAATGGTGGCTGCCCCTACTAAAAGAGCCCTTCTAGGTACCGGCTCGACAAATCAGCCTGTCGGCCGAACCGGGACACTTGATGGGGTCAGAGACCCCTAAAGCTGTTGACACAGCCAGTAGTCTGTCGTATGCTATTGCCAGAGCAACAACACCGATAAGTGGGAATCCCCCTTCTTCGACGTGGAGTGCGGTAACCGAAGTGACTGCAAGGCGCGGGGAACACCAACCCGCCGTATTATCTTCCCCGAGAAGCTCAACCATCTGCAATGGTAGCCCCCTTTGGCCGCTTGCGTGGCCCCCGGGCTTGGACTGTGCGACCGCCGCAGCTGCGACACGCGGCGCGGGGCACGCCTCCATTCCGTAACATACCCCTGTTGGGCCGCTCGCGCGACCCCGCTGTCCACTGCACCCACACCCGAGACTGCGAGTGCAGCTTGCTCGAGGCAGACCTCGGACCCCTCCGGCTCCTCCAAGGGAGGATTCCCTCCGAAGTGGCCGCCCCTGAATGGGGAAGAAAAGCCACTCTATCCCAACGTGTCAAGGCCAAGGAGTATAAACAACGTCTCGACGAGGCTACGAACAAATCCGTCGTGCACTCGATGTTGGTAGAAGACCGTTGCCTCCAGGTCAGCAACTGTCGCCGATCCACTCGCTGGAGCACCAGCTCGCCATGTTGTGATCATTGAACGATCGACCGTTTTGTGCGGGATCTGAAAAAGCTGCCTCGATATCGTCCCTTTGTCTCCGATGGGAGTCACGCAATACTTCCATATGTATGCAGGCAATTCGAACAGGACCGTGGCCTAATCGTCGCCAATCTGCAGCTGGGTGAGACAGCGTAGCCGCAGCTTCTCTTGGGTTCATACACTGGGCGCGTTCATTGGCTCAGATCAGCGTACGCAATCGAAATCCGTCGCTGATGACGGAGATAGATGCGGACCAACGACTGCAGCGTCGCCGCACGTTCCGCGATAAACGGGGCCATGGCCCTCGGCACGTCTTCTGCGCAGCTGCGGCGTCGTGCGCACCACTTGTTGCGTCATCATTTATGTCGTCTCGAGATCGCGACTTGTCCACGATTGTTGAAAGTCAACCGCAGTCAGCAATTGCCAATCGACGTCAAAGGAGCTCTCGCGTGTTCCGGGACTGCAGTGGATAGATTGGCATGACGGTACCCGACGCGTCCGATGCGTCCAGACGTACGGCCATCAAATACGACGATGGCAAGACACTGCTGGCTGAGGGACCGCAGGCGCTGCACGACCACGTTGCGTCGCGCATGGAGAAATCACTGGGCAAAGCGCTTCCGCAGATGGAGGTGCGCTTCAAAGACGTGTCCATTACGGCTGACATTATGGTGAAAGACGAGTCGAACATCACTGTGGAGCTGCCCACTCTGATCAACGTGATCAAGACGGGGGTCCGCGAGCTGAGGTCCAGCAAGCACGTCGTGAAGAAGGAGATCCTCAAGAACATCAGCGGCGTGTTCAAGCCAGGCACCATCACGCTCGTGCTCGGCCAGCCGGGATCTGGCAAGTCGTCGCTCATGAAGCTGATCAGCGGCCGCTTCCCGGACGGCAAGAACATCACGATGGAGGGCGAAGTGACGTACAACGGCACACCAGCCAAGGAGATGCGCAAGCACCTGCCGCAGTTCGTGTCCTACGTGACCCAGCGAGACAAGCACTACCCGCTCTTGACTGTAAAAGAGACGCTCGAGTTTGCGCACGCCTGTTGCGGTGGCGGTCTCTCCAAGCGTGACGAGCAGCACCTTATCAACGGCTCGCCCGAGGAGAACAAGGCCGCGCTGGAGGCTGCGAGAGCCATGTACAAGCACTACCCAGACATCGTCATCCATCAGCTCGGACTGGACAACTGTCAGTACACCATCGTGGGTGACGCCATGATCCGCGGTGTGTCGGGCGGAGAGCGCAAGCGCGTGACAACGGGCGAGATGGAGTTCGGCAACAAGTACGTTATGATGATGGACGAGATCAGTACGGGACTCGACAGCGCCGCGACGTTCGACATCATCACGACCCAGCGCAGCATTGCCAAGAAGTTCCGCAAGACGATCGTGATTTCGCTGCTGCAGCCGTCGCCCGAGGTCTTTCAGCTCTTCGACGATGTCGTGATCTTGAACGAGGGCTACGAGATGTACCACGGACCAAGGGCTGAGGCACTGAGTTACTTCGAAGGCTTGGGCTTCAAGTGTCCGCCTCGTCGTGACGTGGCCGACTTCTTGCTGGATCTCGGCACGGACAAGCAAGCGCAGTACGAAGTGGAATCGGCTCGAGGTAGTTCGGTCCCGCGGTCGGCCAGCGACTTTGCCACAGCGTTCGAGCGCTCGTCCATCTATGACCGAATGCGAGCAAGCCTCGAAGATCCGGTACACCCCACCCTCGTTCAGGACAAGAAGGTGCACATGGACATTATGCCAGAGTTTCACCAGAATTTCTGGGACAGCACGTGTTTGCTGATGACACGACAGATCAGGGTGACGTTGCGCGACTCGGCGGCACTGTGTGGGCGCCTGTTCATGAACACCATCATGGGTTTGCTGTATGCCAGCGTCTTCTACCAAATTGACCCGACAAACGCACAGCTGATCATGGGCGTCATCTTTGCCTCGGTGCTGTGTTTGTCGCTGGGCCAGTCTGCTCAGATCCCGACAGTCATGGCTGCGCGCGAGGTGTTCTACAAGCAGCGTGGAGCCAACTTCTTCCGCACGGCGTCTTATGTGCTTTCGTCGTCGGGTAGCCAGCTGCTACCAATCATTCTGGAGAGTGTCGTGTTCGGCTGCATCGTGTACTGGATGTGCGGCTTGGTTGATACGATCGGGGCGTTCTTGCTGTTCCTTTTGATGCTGATTCTGACGAACCTCGCGTTCACGGCGTTCTTCTTCTTCTTGGCTTCTGCTTCGCCGAACTTCAGCATCGCCAACCCGATCTCCAGTGTATCGATTCTGTTCCTGATCGTGTTCGGAGGCTTCGTCATCACGAAAGAGCAAATTCCGGACTACCTCATCTGGATATACTGGCTGAACCCGATTGCTTGGTGCGTGCGCGCGCTGGCAGTGAACCAGTACAGGGACGACACCTTTGACACGTGCGTTTACGGCGACATCAATTTCTGCGAGAGCTTCAACCAGACGGCTGGCATATACTCGCTCGGTACATTTGAGGTTCCGTCCGAAAAGTACTGGCTGTGGTACGGCTTCGTGTTCATCGGTGGCGCATACGTTTTCTTCATGTGTCTCTCGTTCATCGCACTGGAGTACAACCGATATGAGAGTCCCGAGAACGTGACATTGACCTCGGAAAACAAGGGCGACATTAAGGACGGATACGGTCTGATGCAAACGCCGCGTGGCTCAACAAACGGTGGCGGTGTTGCACTCTCTGTGGCGCCTGCCAGCGACAAGCTCTTCGTCCCGGTCACCATCGCTTTTAAGGACCTCTGGTACAGCGTGCCGGACCCGACCAACCCGAAAGGAACGATCGACCTGCTGAAAGGCATTAGTGGCTACGCGCTGCCAGGTACCATCACGGCACTCATGGGATCGTCGGGTGCAGGCAAGACGACGCTGATGGATGTCATTGCTGGACGCAAAACGGGAGGAACGATCGGTGGCCATATCCTGCTCAACGGCGTTCCTGCCACCGACCTCGCCATCCGACGCTCGACTGGGTACTGCGAGCAAATGGACATCCACTGTGAGTCGGCAACATTCCGCGAGGCGCTCACGTTCAGTGCATTTCTCCGCCAAGGCGCTGACATTCCCGACAGTCAGAAGTACGACTCGGTGAACGAATGCCTGGAGCTGCTCGATCTGCACCCAATTGCTGATCAGATCGTCCGCGGCAGTTCTGTGGAGCAGATGAAGCGACTGACGATCGGTGTGGAGCTGGCGGCTCAGCCCAGTGTGCTTTTCCTGGACGAGCCCACGAGCGGACTGGATGCGCGTTCCGCCAAGCTCATCATGGACGGCGTGCGCAAGGTGGCGAACACGGGTCGGACCATTGTGTGCACGATCCATCAGCCTTCGACGGAAGTTTTCAGCGTGTTCGACAGTCTGCTACTGCTGAAGCGCGGCGGTGAGACGGTGTTTGCGGGTGAGCTGGGTGAGAACGCGTGCAAGATGATTGCGTACTTTGAGTCCATCGATGGTGTGGAGAAGCTGGACGACAACTACAACGCGGCAACGTGGATGCTGGAGGTGATTGGTGCGGGCGTGGGCAACAGCAACGGCGCCAAGGACTTTGTGAAGGTCTTCCGGGAGAGCAGACAGTTCGAGATTCTGCAGGCAAATATGGACCGTGATGGTGTGACTCGACCGTCGGCGGACTTGCCTGAATTGACGTTCGCCGACAAGCGCGCTGCAACGGAGCTGGTCCAGATGAAGATGGTGATGCAGCGCTTCTTCCGCATGTACTGGCGCACGGCATCGTTCAACTTGACACGATTCTTCGTATCTCTGGTGCTGGGTCTCGTCTTCGGCATCACGTACATCGACTCGGAGTACACATCGTTCACTGGCATCAACTCGGGCATGGGCATGTTGTACATGGCGGTCGCGTTCCTCGGCATCTGTTCGTTCAACAGCTCGTTGCCCAACGCTTCTCAGGAGCGTGGAATTTTCTACCGCGAACGCGCAGCGCAGACGTACAACGCGGTCTGGTACTTCTTTGCTTCGAGTGTGGTGGAGATCCCGTACACGTTCCTGGCCGTGATGCTGTTCATGACTCCTTTCTACCCAATGGTGGGCTTCAGCGGGGCCAGTGCCTTCTTCACGTTCTGGCTTGCCATGTCGATGCACGTGCTGCTGCAGGCGTACATCGGCGAGTTCCTGGTGTTCTTGCTGCCGAATGTAGAAGTCGCCCAGATTTTGGGCTCCCTGTTGTCACTGGTATTCCTGCTGTTTATGGGCTTCTCTCCCCCTGCCGGAGACCTGCCGACGGGCTACAAGTGGCTGTACCACATCACGCCGCAGAAGTACACGTTTGCAGTCCTGGCCAGTCTCGTGTTTGGCGACTGTCCCGACAGCGGCGTGGGCGACGACGTTGGTTGCGAGCTCATGACGAACATGCCGCCGAACCTTCCTGCGGGTCTGACCGTGAAGAGCTACTTGGACAGTGTGTTCCTCGTGGAGCACAGCGAAATTTGGCGCAACAACGGCATCGTGCTGGCGTTCTTGGTGCTCTTCCGTGTGCTCACGCTGGTGGCGATGCGCTTTGTGAACCACCAGAAGCGGTGATCGCTGTGTCTCCGATGTGCGCGCGTGTACCGAATGCACTGTAATCGTTACGCCCCATTTTCTGTCAGGGCATCAGCTCGCGTTTGTAACTCGTTGATTACATCATGCTTTCATCATTCTTCGTATTGTCTTTTCACTGTCGGTCGACCGCCGGAACAAGAAAATCTAGTTTTGATTAGTACTTCAAGTACTCGGGGCATCGTTGGCTTCGCCTTTCAGGCGGTAGAGAATGTACTGAACAGCCTTCATTGTGATGCGCATACGATCAAGACTATGCATCGTCCTTCTCTTCAGGGGATGAGGCTGTACAGATTCGGCCTTTAACGTTCTCAGTTGGGAAACAATTTACAGCACTGGAACAAACAGACAACAAGTCTCGTGCAGCTCGATGGGCGTCAAATGGAGCATGAATCGGTGAGACCGTTACATAGCGATTAAGGCGCTGTTAGCGAGCATCTAAATACCGCACAAGAATGGTTTGGCACGAGCACAGCAACATCTCGAGCAGCAACAAGACGTCGGATCGGCGCAAGACGTCTCTGCCTCAGCCTTCAGTGTGCAAAATATTGATCTTCTGATCGTCGATTTTTGCATACATCTCCGGTATATTTTGCTGCCGCAAGTGAGGACATCGGCTCTCGAAGCGTGGGCATCTTGCTTAGTCTATAGCTGGTGGCGTGCAGCAACACGGAGCACGTGCCAAACCATTCTGAAACTGCTGGCGTCAAGGTCACGTGCTTCAATGACAGTAAAGGTGGACGTGTGTATTTAACGGGGTGAGCCCGTTACATATAAATTGATATCTTTGTATCAATGTTTGAACATTATCTATTTAGATAATGTTCAATTGACATTACTTTTAAGGAGTAAGGAGAAGGGATATTACCCCTGGGTAATATGTCGTCGATGGGAAGCTCCACCTGATGCTTGATGTTCACGGTACATCAACCAGACCAACCACCAATCGCTGCTGGACGCGCGCAATGCGTGGTGAACAAGAAACCCACACAGGAGATTGTAGTTTAATATAGCTAGGTCAAGATAAAGATGGTTTAATAAGAAACACAACTATATTAATTACATTTCTACTTTTTCCCTTAGACAGAACTTTCGAGTTCTGCCTACTTCGCTGCTCTTCCTCACGACACGTCGAGTACACACAACCTTGTGTCGAATTGATACAAGGTGTGCCCCGTTATACCTGGTAGGACTAGTAGTCCGTCCAGCGACCACAACCACCTCATCCGACATGAACATGTTGGATGAGGAGGAGAGGTTTCACGCCGTGCGTGTAGTCTTGAACAGTTTAAGTGGCATCGGATGGAGGGCGGTAGAACGAATGAGTTTTACCGTCGGCGAAACCGCCATTAGCGCCATGTTGGAGTCCCTTGACAGGGACCAACAACATGCCGCTATAGCCAGGTTCATTCAAAATGAACTTGTAGCCGAAAGAGAAAAGGTAGCCTTGCTTCACCAGCAAGGCTCTCAGCAGGCCGATCAGTTGAGAGAACTCGGTGCTCAATAGAGGAAGCTTTTGAGATAGCATCAATTCAATGCTGCTGTGGGCGGGACGACACACACGTGTCGTCCCGAAATCTTGAAGGTTGATATCTCCAAGTACAGAGGAGTCGAGGAATACTCCCTGTTGTTATGGTTCGTCGAGCTAGACAGAGCCATACGGGCACGTCGCTGTGGTGGGGTGGTGATCACAATTTTCTTGTGATCCCGGCTCTCCACTAGAGCCCGGACAATCGACTTACGGAGGGGGTACCCCGAATCCGTGTTCTGTATGCTCTTGCTCACCTTGTGTACCCGTCGGTGGGGCGGGTTGCGCTCTTCTTGGTGGACTTGAGCTGAAGCTGAACTTGACCATCTTAGGGATGGGTGTTGATCGGCAGAAATGCTTCACCCGGTCAACGTAGGTGCGGACCGCGTGGAAATTCTTCACTCGATCGCTTGTAACTTGAGCGCTCTCCCAGAGTCTCCTTTGCCAGGGGTGATGCTTGATACGCGAGCCTTCTGACCACTTGAGCCGTCTCGCGATCTTGAATCTGAACCGCTACGTTCCTTGCGTCCGATTGAAGTTGATGGGGGGTGAAAATTGCCGTTCCGAATGACCAAACAATTGAAGGGCGAAGTTCGCTGAGACGTGGGTGACTCTCTATTCAACGGGAGGCCAAAGATCCTTCCCGGGAGAAGTCGACGCGTGTCTTTCGTTGCAAATTCAATTCTGTTTAATGTCAACCAACCAAATCCAAACCCTATGACTATGCCTATCTGTTTGCTAGGTCAACTGTTGTGCATCGTCTGTCTATGTCATTCATCTCTTACCTCATGTCGTCCACAGCAGATACTTCGTAGTGGATCGCCCCATACCGGATCGCACAGTACCTGATCGCAGAGTACTGGATCGCAGAGTACCGGATCGCAGAGTACCTTGGTGATCCAAAACTTCGATCGCAGATCGCGATCGGTCAATCGTCTATCCTTGACTATACTCCTTCTTGACCATTAAGTGGGTCACTCTGCATAATTTCCACAGTCATTTCCTGTCACTCAGTCGTGTGACACCATCATCCGTGCTAACGAGCCCATCTCCATACGCGCTCCACCAATTAAATTGATTTTCGCACTCAAGGCGGATCGCGCGATCCACACTTCCTTCATTCTTCCTTCGTGCTTCTTTACATCGCATCGACGATGAGCAAATGCAACTCACATTTGTTCAAGCCCACTTGGCAGGACGTGCCAAGACTTGGGCCTTAGGGCTCAAGATAAGCGACCACTGGTGATCGATTTGCTGGAATTCTTCAAAAACCGGCTCAATCGAACGTTTGAGCCGCCAAGGGCTGAGTTAAGGGCTCGATCAGAGTTCCTGAAACTCAAACAAGGTAATCGTGATGCGCACGCTTACTCTCAGCATATACGACTCCTTGCGAGTAGTAGAACTGTAAAACCGGTAAATGACCAACGTTGATCACTACGTTCATGCAAGGGATTGCAGACGGGCCCGTCAGGAGCCACCTGTTCCGCCTTGAGTTGAATACTCTAGAAGATTCTATTGCAGCAGCGGAAATGGAAGACTTTAGCATGAGACAGGCTCATGCTAGCTCAAACTCTTACCGTCCACCGAGACTACAAGAGATCGGAGGTCCAGAACCAATGGACCTCTGTTATGTTGAGACCGTCGCTCTACGAATAACAAGCGATTGCAGAGGTGCAATCGCCGTCAGAAGTTAGGGCACTACGCATACGAGTGTAGTGCTCCGCGCCCAGTACCGAACAGTACTGAGCGAAATGGACGACCATTTGCCAGAAAGGGCAATGGGCGTGGGTCCGCACCTAAAATTTAGAAGTTTGTAATAACATAAATTTTATTATTTTTTCATTTATTTCAAAGTATCTTAGAAGTTTTTTATAATGAATTAAAAAAAAGAGTAGTTTATAAACTTACAAAATAAATTAAAAATTGTTTTATTTAATTATTAATTTCAAAAAATTGAATAATTTGAATAGTTATTTTATATTATTATTTGGATGATAAAGATTTAACTGCGAAGCCGCAGCTGCGAGACGGACCATCAAACAATGGTCGGGGTCAGTAGGGGCGGAGCGCCCTACTGATCCAGCATCCTCAAGAGAATTTGCAAATCTCTTGACGAAAGTTGCTCCAGATAAACAATCATTGTGTGTCTCTGCACCTGGTGATGAGATATCTATCATTAACTTGAAGTTGCAAGTGACAACAGATTTGTCACTTCGCACCCTATTTGACCTTGGGGCGTCAAACAACTTTGTTCGACGCCAGTCACTAGAGGTTCGTAGGCTCAAGTTCGTTGAGCGCGACATCCCTTTAACGAGAATGACAGTGCGCCTCGCCTCAGGCGCATCGATTACCGTTCCAAAACGTGTAGTGGTAATCCACTACACGTTAGAGGAGCAAACAGTACGATGATGACTTCATCGTACTGGATCTGGATGACAAATTTGATGTAATCCTGGGATTACCTTAACTCAAAACGTACGAGCCAAGGGTGATCTGGCAGCATCGATCCGTGAAGATGCCTGCCGTATATTCATCAGATGGCCATATGATGAACGTCATGGAGCGTCCACAATCGTGTGGATGTACTGTGAGTGCGTGCAATGGCCTCACTTGCGGTACGGTCGTTAGCACGACTGCACAATAACTCAGTGCAGCTAATCACTACACTGTGGAGAAATCTCCCGGCGGCTGTACAGAAGTACAGTCAGCGCCGAAGGTCCACCACTCGAATAAGTCGGGTGGACCGGGACATGGATGCATGCCTAGCGGGCAGCATCTTAGAAGAAAGAAACCTGTTGCCTCCAAGGGGCAACATGAAAATCCTAGGTCGACTGGAGAGTCGACCGTAGAGGATCGGTCCCTGACTGTGGTTGCACAGCCACAGTCAGAAGACGTCGAGGGAATAAGTCCCCACGTACTTGAGGAAGGAATTCCTTAAGAGTCTCATGCTGAAGGATTAGGCCTTCATCAACCTGTGGAAAGAAGTTCCCAGGAAGTAACCGAGACGTTGAACGTCTTGGTTAATGACGGATCAAGCTTAGGCGCTTAAACGCTTGATCTGATTGTGCCTCCGAAGTTAAATTCGGAGATAAATCAATTGCCAACGCTAGAACCGAAACGGTTCTTGCGTGATCTGCGTAGTGGCAAAGTCAAGCAGATCTGCATACTCGTCACAGAGGATGAGTATGTGGCCGATATTCGGTCGGCAACAGTATTTGCTGAGAACGAACGGGTTCTCAGCAGCTCATCGATGGACGAAAGTGTCCTCGATGAGAAGACTCGGATCGAACGATACACGCCTCAATCCTGGAAGTCGCTTCAGGCAAACCCTTTGTATACGGTTTTGATCGAATTCAAGGACGTGTTCTCTGAATCCGTACCGTGCGAGTTGCCTAAGGACAAAGGCACTCGACGCGATATCGAGCTCAGACCGGGCTCGAAGTATTGTGTCATG